GACGGAGAGACACTTGGCTGGGGAAGAGGGCAAGAGCAAGACTCTGGAATGTCCCTCTCACCTCATAGTGACTCTCTCACCTTCCCCAGGGCTGGATGGACACGGAGGCTGCAGCTGTGTGGGGGGCTGCGCAGCAAGTGAGTGGACGGTTCCCCTGCAGTCAGGGCCTGGAGGACATGGAAGCCAAGGCCCCTGTCAGGCCCCAGGGACGGGAAGCAGAGACGCCTGGGCAGGTGATTGGGCCCGGCACCTGCCAGTCTATAAGGGGGTGGGGACAGGGGGCAAGTAGCCCAGGGAGTGGCCTGGAAAGGGGAGCTGTTCTTGTGGGCGGGCCCAATGCCCTCTGGGAATCACTCCCTCCCCACCCAGATTTCCCTTGCCTGCCTGGGGTGCCTGGGGGTCTCTGTGACTCCAAGATGCTCCGAGCATGCCTGAATGTGGTCTGTGACTGTACCTGAGAGTGTCTGTGATTGCGTGACCCTGACTATGCACATGCATGGCAGGTGGTGGTAGCTCTACAGTGCTGTGATGATTGTATAGCTTGTGTGTGTAAGTATGTGTGACCGTGACAGTATGTGGTATGTGGTGTGCAGTGAGTCAGTGGAGTGTAACTTGTGCATGTGTGTAACCATGTGCCCAGCACATATTCTCTGTCTCTGTGACACCACAGGGCATAGGACTGAGTATGCCCCAACCTGTCCACTCTAAACTGTGTGTGCCCACGCTGTCTGCGTGACTGGAGGCTGGATGTACCTGGGGGGTGGGTGTTGTAAGCTGTTATGTGCTCGCTATGAATGCCCTGAGATTAGGATGTCACCCAGAATACTTGTGGCTATTAAAAGAAGGCCAGCTGTCAGCCCAAGTGCCTATGGAACGGAATGTCGATGGCGATTAGAGAAGGCCATATTCTGGAACGCTGGAAATGCCGTGTGCACAGGCCCCGAGGCTACCCTTCCCCCTCAGCTGACAGCTCTCTACCCAGCCCCTCTGTTCACACTGGTGCAACACCCCCAGCTCCTGGGATCTCTTGGGCTTCCCTAGCAAGCCTAAGACCATGTCCTGCCTTACATCCCCAAGGCTGCCCCCTGGGTGTCCCAGAGAGGGGGAGCCCTGGGCTGCCCCCTGAAGTTGCAGAATCCCTGCCTCTCCCAGGAGCACAGCTCCCTCGATGCTCCAGCTCCAGGGACGACTCACCCCCTAGCCCTGACCCTGGGCACTGTGAACAGCCACAGAGGCTGGGACGGAGACAAGCAGTGAGGAAAGGCAGTGGAGGGAATGTCCTGGAGGGAATACTGGGCCGGGCTAGGGCACTGGGCAGGGAGGGACAGCATATCAGCCATCACCTAACACGTGTGATAAGCACTGTCATCGAGGTATCAGCACACAGGGTGCTGAAAGCAGAGGCAAGTCCCCGAGGCCTCCCCAGGAAAGGTGGAGGTGAAGCAAGGGTTGCCAGGCAGGATGGGGGTGATGTTGAGCAGTCCAGGCCAAGAAAAGAGCCTGTGTGAACACAGTGGAGCCACTGGGGAGCTTGGCGTGTCCTGGAACAGAATGTTGCTCTGTGACCCAGGAGCAGCCAGAGGGACTCCGGGAGCTAGTGGTGGGGAGAGAAGAGGAGAAAAGAAGGGCAAGAGGTGGTAGGAACTGTGGGGAGGCCCAATCAGATACTGACCTGAGGGGTCTCTAGCCTTGACCCTGGGGGGAGCAGGGAGCCCTTGGAGGACTTAGCTAGGGCTTTGAGGTAGGCTCGGTCGACCTTGTGGGGTGGTTGGTTTCCCTGCAGCGGCTGGAGAAGGACAGCTGGAATGTAATGAGCGGGCAGGGAGAAGCCTGGAGGAAGCTGGTGCTGTAAGACAGGCAAGAAATGAGGCGACTGCGGCCGCAGGGCGAGAGGAGACGCAGGCCCCCCAGAGGGAGTAGAGGAAGAGGACACCTGGATGGGTGGGGGTGAGGGGAGCTCAGTTCTGACTGACTGCAGGAGTCTGAGAGCCTAGGGGATGGCCCCGGGGGGAGGTCTTGCCGGTGGCCTTAGATATTGCAGGCTCCATCCTCCAGGCCACAATGTGGCCTCGGAGAAGGCCCATCCCCCAGCCAGGACACAACCTGGCCTCTCCATGCGACCGCACTTCACTGCTTGGTGACCCTAAACATGGAGGGTCACTGGGAGAATGCTCCCAGTGGGACCCTCCTGGAGCTAAACATATGTGTGCTGTTTGCTTTCAGACCAAGGGGCTGCTCCCCAGCCAGGACCCCAGGATGTAGGGTGCCCATTGGCTCACCTTTTCTTCTGGGACACATCCAGCTCCCTCACCTCCCCCTCATACACACAGACCCAAGATCACCCCATGAGCCTTCAGGCTTTGGAAGTGGCCCTGTCACCCAGGCTGTGCTGGATTCGGGGCCCCACACCCCAAAACACCTGCCCTGCCATGTGCTCGGCACCCATTTCTCATCTCGACAGCCTGCACCCCAGGCTCAGCCCAGGCCCTCCCGCTTCCCGGAGTCATCTGTCTCTCCTCAAATGCTGTGTGCTGTGATTGTCCAGGCGATGACAATGGCGATGGCTCCGTGGGACACGCCAGCTAATTGCGAGCTGCCGCTGCACCCGGGCTGGGCATTTCACTGACGTGGGCAGGCCAGCACTGCATCTCCCGCGGCCAGCAGTTGAAGCCGAGCACAGACTTTCATGCACCGGAATCTGTTCTTCACCGCTATCCCCTTCCTGCTTCCCCAGTGCTATTTCTGCCATGGCCCACCCTCTTGTGCACACATACATTTTCGGGCACACTCTTCTACCTGCACATGTCTGCATGCCCACCAAACACATGTGTGCACACACTGCACCTGTGGCGTGTCTCGAATCAGTGACCTAAGATCATCCCAGGGCTGTATCGCTCTGACAGCGTATAGGAAAATAAAAAGCAGAGAAGCATGGTCTTCACCTGTTGGTGTCGCGATGGGAGAGAGACCCAGGGCCTGGCCTCTGACGCCCGCAGCATCTCTTTCTCCCCTCCCTCTGTCCCCCACCTTGCAACTCTCACTCCTGAAGCCTCCACCTCAAACTGCGAGGGGAAGAATGGAGGAGGGACAAAGACCAGGCTTGTCCCCACCCCCACTCCCCAGTGAGCTGCTGTTATCAGGAGGCGGTTCATGCCCAGCCTGTGGGCACCAGCTCCTCTCTGGCTGGGTCTCCCAGGGGAGGCAGACGGAGGGAGGCTGGCCTTCCCCTTTAAGAGCATCCTTCCCATCACCCCTCCCTTTCCCCAGAGGCAGCATCAGGCAGTGTGGGTGCCAGAGTCCAGAGAAAGAGCCTGCAGCTCCAGGTACTGCCTAGCCCGGGGCTTCCCCTCCCCCTACAGGGTGGGCTTCTTTCTTTCCCCACACTGGTCATACCTCGCTGCCGGGTCCTTTCCAGCTTGGCAGGACAGACCCCTCCTAGGAAAGGGGGTAACCCTGGAGGTGGGGATGGATGGGAGGGGGCCTGGGAGTGAAGTAGGGGATGGTATGGGGAGGGTGGGGTGCTGGCCATGAGCTTCCTGGACTTCCTGGCTGCCCGGGCCAGACCTGGGCAGGGGGGCAGCCTGGGCTGTCTGATACCCAACAGAAGAGGTGGTGTAATGGGGGAAAGAATACAGGTCCTTCTTTGACGTCGTCCACTTGATATTCTTGTGAACTTGGGCAAGTTACCAAATGTCCCTGTGATGTGGGGATGCTACCATGCATGTTGTATGTGCCAGGCCATGAGGTGGGGTGATGTCAACTGGGAATTCGTCACACCCCAGGCCCACTCTGAGTCTTCAGGGCCTAGCCAAGGCTAGAGCCTTCCCAGAGGGCCAAAGAACTGCCAGCCCTGTCACCTTCACCTTCCCTGAGCCTCGGTTTCTCCAATCAGAGCCAGTTTGGGCCTTGATCTATCTCCAGACCACACAGGGCCTGAAGTGTCTTCTGAGGAAGGGCTTCTGGAGGTATCTTGGCCCAAAGAACACACTGGCTGGAGTCCCAAGGGGCCTAGGCCCCCAGGTCCCCACCCAGAACACACTGTCTCTGGGTTACAAGCTAGACACACACCGCACGCACTTCCCCCTCCTTATGCCTTCTGGCCCCACATCCCAGCAGCTGAGCAAATGGCATCTCCTCCCCTCCTCCCTACCCACTGCCATTCCAGTGCAAAGGGCATGGGGGCCTGGCGTGCGACATTGGCAGCTGGAGCTTTCCATGCTGCTGTCAAGTTTTCCAGAGCACAAATGAGACAGGAGAGCCAGGAATAACCTCTGGGCCCCTAGAGGGTCTGGAGGGTGTGGGCCTGCCTCCGACCTGCTTTCAGACCCTGTGCCAAGACCCTGTGCCCTTCGCCCCCATGCCTGGCCTGGGAATCGGGAGGTGCCTGCAGCCATGGGGAACCCATTACTTGGCACAAGCCCAATAGAAATGAGCACCATTCAGGTGCTCCAGCATGGCCTGGGTCCACTCCCTGTGTGACCTTGGAGAAGGCACTTAACCTCTCTGAACCCTGGTTCCTGCAGGCCAAGGTGGCAGCCTCTCAGAATCTGAGGGGATAATGGCATGAGGGACCTGGAGCTGAGCTCAGCCATGACCATAGACACAGTTATTAGTTGATCATTTTTATGGCTGGACAACCCTGGACCAATTGCCAGTCTCCTGAACAGAAGCTCTGTCCAGACCAGCTGGAGGCTCAGCTTGGTCCCAGGCTTTCTACTGGGTAAGCTTCAACCTCAGAGTCCTCACCAGGGAGCACAGGGCAAAAAGACACAAATTGCAAAGCCCCAGTCTTCTGGGCAAATGGGTGGGTTGAGCTGGGCCGAGAGAACACACATCTGGGCTCTCTAAAGGGCAGAGGGAGCAAGGAGGAGAGAGCATTATCACTAACCTGGCCAGTCCCCCATCCTGCCCCTTGGGGGGTGCTGGGTGCTGGACACCCCTCCCCAGGGGCAATATTAGCCGTGTGAGTCACGGTGGGAGGCTGCGGGCGGGCAGAGTGTAGGGTTACAGTCCATTTATGGGCGCAGCAGAGGGCAGATATCAGTGTCGATGGCATTCGTTCCCAGCTATTCTTAGGAGCCTCTCAGGAGCTCCACACAGCCTGGCCAGGCAGCAAGGGACGGAGCAGGCAAGGCTGGGGGTCGGGGGTAGGGGCCCAGGTATAGGCTGGGGAGGTGGGTGCGTGAGGGCCCTCTCATTCTTCTCTTCTCTTGTTCACAGAGGCTGCCGCTCTCAGCACCAGCATGTCTTACAGCGTGACCCTGACCGGGCCTGGGCCCTGGGGCTTCCGTCTCCAGGGGGGCAAGGACTTCAACATGCCGCTCACTATCTCCCGGGTGAGTGTGCACTGCCCACACAGCCTGGCACCCACAGGGGCGGGGCACACTCTGAGGAGGGTGTGCGCATCCCTCTGCTGTCCTCCCTGAGGCTCTCGGAGAGCAGAGCATGTCCCATCCGCAGACTTGGGGCTGGGACTGGCTCCAACTGGATATTGTCGGCCACAGGCCCTTGGTTTTGGCCATAGCTGTTGTCTACCTGAGCTCGCCAACCTGTTGTGAGTGTGAAACATGGGCAAGCGGTGGGTGTTTTGAGCCAAGAAGGAAAGGCCAAGTTTGTTGGGTAGGCAGGCTGGTGAACAGAGTATAGTGCCTTCCTAAGCCCTTCCCTGGGGAGGGTGGGCTCAAGGTGCTCCCCAGCCTGGACCATCTCCACGGAAGGGGGCAGCTGCTTTGGGGAGAGAGCACTCCTAGCATGGAGAGGGCAGGTGACAGGCCAGCACATAGATAGGTGGACAGACTGGTGACTTCAGCTGCCCTGCCATTGGGGCTCAAGGCTAGGCTAGGCTGGTAACTGGGCTCCAGTACCCCCTTCATCCCAGGCCCCAGGTAGCAGCCTCATCTCTACCCCCTTTCCTGGGCCTGCTGGGGATCTCCTACTGGTTTCCTCCCTCACCTGGCCGGGCCCCTACCCATTCAGCCACAGCGGCTCTGCCTACCTGTTTGACATTTTATGCCTCATGCTCACCTGGGCAAATGGTCCACATGTTCTGGAGTGTCTGTGGTCAGGGAACAACTTGCTGGGGATGTCACAGATCACTAGAGATTGTCTGAGTAGCTCTACTGCCTAGCCAGGAACACTCAAGTCCAGAGAGGCGATAAGCTAGATCTGCTTGGGAGAATCTGTCTTTGTTTTAACTACTGCTGTGTTCCCAGCACCTGTACCACCTGAACACAGTAAGCATTCAGGCAACACTTGTCAAAGGACTCTCCCGCGAGTCTGGCTGAGCTGCGAGTCTCAGACCCTCTCTCCAGTGAGTCTGAAGGCCCTGAGGCTCAGGGTGGACTGTGAGATGTGGGAGGGCAAAGGCAAGCCCTGCCTGATGGGGTAGGGCTGAGGCTGAGCTCCTGTGCTGCTGGTGTGGGCACGAGGGGGCAGGCTGAGGTTCCAGGCTGTCACTGGAGGGTGATGGATGGGCCAGGGAGCTGGGACTGCTGCCCACCGGGGGACAGGGAGGCAGTGTCTTCTCAGGGCAGCAGAGCTCTGCTGTGGTTCTGGGGGTGGACGGTGGGCGCGGGCAGGGAGGCACTGAGGTGGGCAGTCAGTGCTTGGCAGAGGGGACAGGGAGCCAGTGCCCCCATGGAGGAGCGATCCTGCTTGTGGAACTTGGTGTGGGTATTTGGGGGGGGATCCGAAGAAGGAGAAGCCCCATTCAGGGGTGACATAGGAACTTCATAATAGCTACAAAAGCCACACTCCTCCAGCGGGGGGCACTGGCCCAGCTCTAGTCCCAGGAAGTGGCCATGTTCTCCATCCTGCCGGAGATCTTGTTCATCTGACTTGAGTCTCCACCCCTTCAGACCCACTGTCCCAGAAACCGCAGGGTGCAGTACCAAAAGGACACCCAGAGCCTTGCACACCCTGCCTGATGATGTGGTGATACATGGGCATTTGAGTCCCAGTGGACACTGCCCCTCCCCCACTGGACCCTGCACTGCTCTCAGGTGGTTACAGGTTTCCTGTATGTCCAAGGAGGGGCTGTCTACCCTCATTGTCATGGATCCACAGGCCTCCCATGCCTCAGACTGAACCCACATCTCCCCCAGCCCTACAGTCCTCCAGGCCTCATGCTGGTGCTCCCTGCCCCATCCCTGCAGGTGGAAATTAGCCTCCTGTCGCAGTGGCACCCAGGATAGTCAATGACCTCACCCAGGATCTATGCACCACCTGGCCTCAGCCAGCCCAGGGCTTATATTGCAGCACAGAGGACTTAAGCTAGACAGCAGGAAGAATGTCCTCACTGCAAGGAAAGGGTGTATTGGGATGTCATGGAGCCAATGACTAGGGGGACCTTTAAAAATAGAACCCGCGGCTCATGCAGGGCATCGGGGGATAGGTACAATGGCCTCTCAGCCTCCTTCAGAGCCATGCCCCAAGTCATCAAGGCTGGGAACAGGCTGGGATGGATGCTGGATCCTCCCCAGGGCTTAGAACCTCTTCACAAATTTCTCGGGTGGGCCACTGATATCCTGGGCTTGGGCATCCCAGGCTCAGTGCTACTGGCCAGGTAGGGCCCAAGACACTCCCACCAGGCTGTGGTATTTCCTGCTGGGGCTCTCAAGGCCCTTCTGGACCAGGAACTTCTTGCCCAGTGGGATGCAGGGCCAGCGGATGCTCCAGTGTCCTGGCCTGAGCCTTTGCAACAGGGCAGTGGTGGCATATTGCAGCGGGGTAGGGATGGGGGCAGCAAAGGCAGGGCTCGCTCATTCTCAGCAGGGCCAATAGCCCTGGGCACCTGGACTGCAGTCCTGAGAGAGGTGGTTGGGCAGGCGGGGCTGCGATTACCGTCTCACTTCAGAGCGGGGCAAACCGAGGCTCGATTTGCTCAGGAGCTCTTGTGACCTTAGGAACCCCTAACTCCCTGGCCTGCTGCTCAGCCCTTTGGCTGGGGATTAGTAACAAAGTACTGAATGGGGCCTGTCCCCTGTCAGCTGTAGACATAGGCTGCTCCTCCTGGAAGAAGGCTGCCACCCTCACGCTGGGTGGTACCTCCAGTCCCCACCCGACCCTGCCCACCAGAATCAACCTTAGGGCTGTAGCAGCCCCCCTCCCTCGCCCAGTCTCCCTTCTGAGGATCCACAGAGAAGTGGGTTCAGGAGGGAGAATGAGAGGGTGGAGGGGAAATGCCTTTATTTATCCTGGACAGGTGCGGCTGGGTCTGCAACATGAGCTCCCCTCTCCCCCCGCCCCTCCATCCAGCCGCAGCCAATTCTCCAGGAAGTGGGGGAGGGGTGGGAGCAGCCGCTAAGGAGCAGCTCCAAAGGCCCAGCCCATTCGGGTCCAAGAGCTGGGGCAGAGGCAGGGGCTGTGGTCTGGGGCCTTGTCCTTGGTGCGTCGTGCAGCCCTTGACTCTACTGAAGAAGTGTGTGTTTTTGTCTGGCTCTGCTGCTCACAGTTATAAAATTCTGTGCACCTGTTGTTCCACTGAGGTGGTGGTGAGGATGGGGGAACCATGGGGCTGAGCCTGGACCCTGGTGGGGGGAGGGGGGAAGGGTGCCCATCTCTCTGCACCAATGCCTCTATCTCTTACAGCCTTATTCGCTCGGCCTAGCAGGCTCTCCTGGGGCACCAGCCCAGAAGCCTTTGTTTCTTTGCTGTTTTTGGTTCCAGTATTTGTCAGATCTCCTAGCTACAGTGGGGACGCAGAGGACGGAGGGTCCCCTGGGAGGGGGAGGGGGACAGGCCGAGACTATTCTGGGGCAACTGTGCCGGCAATTCCTGGAATTTCGAGGCCGTAGTTGCTGTTTCTTGGGCAGCACCTAGCAGTGCTGACAGGCTGTGCTGTTTATAGCCACCCTGAAGGTCAGGCAAGCCTCCGGAGGGCTGCTGGGAGGCTGGCCGGGGCCTTCCCAGATGCAGGAATAGGGAAGATAACCGGACAGAGGCCCATGGCTGGGGAATGCATTCTTGGAGGTGCCCAGGCCCTGCTTCCCTCCCAGGTACTCAGAGATGTCTCTGACTCTGTGAGGGCCCTGAAGGGAGTGGGCATGAAGTTGGCTGGGCCCTGAGGAGCAGACCCTCCAAAGCCTTGGGCCAAGACCTAGGACAAGGGCAACTTCATGGGCAGCCCCCGGGGCTCCTCAGGCTTAAGCCACTGTAGGACAGCAGCAAGTGTGAGGAAGGCCGGGCTTCCTGAGTAATGCCTACTAGGTCCCTCTGGGGCAGGCCTCCCAGAACTGTGTCCCCAGTTCCCTCCGTGTCCCTCTCTGCACGGTCCCCCATCATCCAGAGACTGTCCATGATTGCAAAGGCCCCCTCACCGGAGGCCCTCACATTCCCAAACACAGCTTCTCCACCTCTTTGGAGCCAGGAAACACCTCTATGCTGGGATCATCCTAAGAGGCATGAAGTGGACTTTACCATGCCCCAGTGTTGTCTGGGGCCCACTGAGAGTGACACCTAGGACATCCAGGAGAGAACTGTGGGAAAATAGGAGCAGAAGAGAGAGACTCAGAAGGTCCTGCAGGGAAGGGTGTGATCCGCAAGAGAGGGGACCAGTGACTCCTGGTTTGGGGTACAGGGAGGTCACTTGCATGTGTGGAGTGGTGGGGGCTGATGCTAGAAGGCTGGGTGTGAGAGGGATGGGAGACAGTCAGAGGCAGGACCTGCTGGTCATTCTTGGAGAAGCCTGAAGGTGAAGGAAAGGAGAGACATGACAGGAGCTGGTTGGAGCAACTAAGGCAGGGAGATCCGTTTTTTAAAGACTTAACTTCTTTTTAATTTTTTGCTGATGCTTTTTTTTTTGAGAGACAGAGAGAACGCAAGCAGGGCAGGGGCAGAGAGACAGGAAGACACAGAATCCGAAGCAGGTTCCAGGCTCTGAGCTGTCAGCACGGAGCCCGATGTGGGGCTCGAATTCATAACCACGAGATCACGACCTGGGCCGAAGTCAGATGCTTAACTGACTGAGCCACCCAGGTGCCCCTAAATTTTTAAAAAAATTTTAATGTTTATTTTTGAGAAAAAGAGAGAGACAGAAAGCAAGTGGGGGTGGGGCAGAGAGAGAGGGAGACACAGAATCCGAAGCAGATTCTAGGCTCTGAGCTGTCAGCACAGAGCCCTATGCGGGGCTTGAACCCATGAACTGTGAAATCATGACCTGAGCCAAAGTCGGCCACTTAACTGACTGAGCCACCCAGGCACCCTAAAAGACTTAATCTTTAAAAAATATGTATGTATGTATGTATTTAGAGAGAGCATGCAAGTGGGGTGGGGGGCAGAGAGGGAGGGAGAGAGAAAGAGAATCCCAAGGAGGCTCCGTGCTGACAGCATAGAGCCA